TATTAATTGGCATAAAATCGGATTAGATTAGCATAAGACCCTAATCACCCCCCCTCTAGGGTCTAACACGTTGCACCCTCTTAATACAATCCTGCAGTTTGAATTTCACAGACATTGGTCACCATAAATTATTAACATGGCGAGAGACAAGATTCGATAGTTTGAGATTACATTCAATGTATTTGAATCGAGATTCAAATGATTGAATCAAGAGTTGACTAAAGTAAATCCAGTTTTACTTTAGTAAATCGAGATTCAGTAGTAGTGAATCCAGATTCACTTCAGTAAATCGATATTGAGTATCATTGAATCCAGATTCAATGATGTGAATCAGAATTCAGTTTAACTTAATCGATAACCACTGATCTGAAACGAGATTCATTACTAGTAAAACAATTCATTGAACTGAATTGACATTCAGTTTAAGTGAATCTCGATTCACTCCTACTGAATCGAGATTAAATTGAATAAACAAAGTCTTGCAACTTATTTTGCTAACCTTTCTAATTGTCTCAACACTTTTAGGCGAGTTTCCAGTAGCACTCTGCATTCGAGATGAAGGTGCAAGTTCAACCCTCTCTGTAAATGCACCTTTTGCCAAATGAATCTGTACTTATTTCCTCTGACTGTCTTTCCTTCAAGGCCAAGTCAGTCCAGCCTAAATATGTAGGAGTTGTTCTCTCAACCAACCTCCTCCCTTTGAACAGGACCCGATCGGCATAGAAAAGCTAGAAAGACGGAGATAAGAAATAAAGCACACCAATTAGTAATCATCAAGTAAAACTACTTTAACTACAGTAATGTAAAAATAAATCAATATTATACAAGTGACTTACAATCAAAAAATGTAAGAGGACCCATGTAGAATTGTTTTGTCGGGTCTACCTTCCACTTGTGTTGGCTTTCTATCATTGAGTCAAGAAAGAAAGAACACCAATTGTATTCAGAGCACTGATCAACATTGTCACCAAGAACTAGAATCCGTTGGTTGATGATCAACATTGTCACCAAGAACTAGAATCCGTTGGTTGACATACGGATTGCTAAGCGACTGGATCATGCTGTTGTGAAAGACATACGGATTGCTAAGCGACTGGATCATGCTGTTGTGAAAGAGAACCAAGAAATTCAGTTTAAAAAACAAGTTAACATCAGAACTCTGCTTTAGTTTCTCAGACACAGCCCCTGGAGTAATTTTCCAACCAAGACTGTCTGTGAATTAAGCCCTCCATTCATCCACCAATGCTGACTTCCCAATACTGGAGGCTGGTATACGCTTCCTACCCATAGGTAATCCCATCACTTGATGTACATCTTCCTCTGTGATACTGATTGATCCTCTGGGAAGATTAAGCGCAACGGATTCACTGTCAAAGGACTGCAGAATCTTGTACCCCAACATATGTGGCAGTTCCTTTAATCCAAATTGTAAAAGACCTCCAAGTCCAGCTAGTCTCACCCATTCTTTTTGGGAGTCAGAGAGTGACAAAACCATATCAGAGAATATCTTTGGAGAGACCCGTATCCTAGTCAACTCCTTAGGTTCAGACCTCACATTTTTTTTCAAAACCTTCTCCAGTGACAAAAAAAATATAATTAGATCAAATTATCCATCAGTTAATACCAATAAAAAAACAACATGCAACTGAATCTCGATTCACTTGAGTGAATCCAGTAGTGAATAAAGATGTTTAGTACACCAACCTTTTTCATCTTCTTCCTTCCTTTTGTGATCTGTTCATTGTCTTCATCCCTCCTACGCTTTGATTTTTCCTCACCGGCAGGATTATTTGGGGGGGGTGACGAGGTCATCGTCACTGCTAGGCACTGACCTCACATATTTTTTTTTCACAACCTTCTCCAGTGACAAAAATAATATAATTAGATCAAATTATCCATCATTGAATACACAAAAAAAATTAAAGATGTTTAGTACACCAACCCTTTTCATCTTCATCCCTTTTGTGGTCTGTTCATTGTCTTCATCCCTTGTACGCTTTGATGTTTCCTCACCGGTAGGATTACTTGTGGGGTTGATGAAGTCATCGTCACTGCTGGGCATGTTCACAGTGCGTGTTGTCCTCTGTTGAGGTATAGGTGTAAATACCTCAATAATCTCAACACATGCTGTTTGTTTGTTCCTTGAGCTAGATCGTAGACCTGCTAAACCGATGACAATTCATTTTTTAATGAGACCAGCCTTTGAATAATACATGGCAAGCATGAAGGTGGAATCACATTATTGAGTCAATATATTATAATCTGAATCGCGATTCACTCCAGTGAATAGCGATTCGCTGAAATGAATCTCGTTTCACTCCACTAAACTGCGATTCACTTGAGTGAATCTCAATTCACTCCAATGAATCGCTGTAGTCAATCGAGATTCACTGTAGTGAATCGAGATTCACTGTAGTGAATCGAGATTCACTTGAGTGAATCTCGATTCACTCAAGTAAATCGAGATTCAACAAAATGTATTGAGATTCAACAAAGTGAATCCAGATTCAACAAAATGTATCGAGCTTCAGCAAATTGAATCCAGATTCAATGATATGAAACCAACTCCATGACATACTATACATTGTTTTAGTGTCTCGTCCCTCAACGCAACAAGGAAAAACTGATCATCGTTACAATTTAATTTCACTGTTAGTATACATAAAGCATATAATTTTTCCATCCTATATACTCGGCCTCGGATCATATTTGTTATTTTTTTACAAACAAACAAACAATCATGATAAAGTTGAATTTTAAAGAGCAATCATTTTTCCGTAACTGGTAAGATTATCCAGTATATGAATCTCAATTTTCTACGAAGTATCAGGATTCACATTAGTGAATCGAGATTCTCTATGTTTGAGTGAATAGAGATTCATCCAATGAATCGCGATTCACTTGAGTGAATAGAGATTAATCCAATAAATCGCGATTCATTCTAGTGAATCTCGATTCACCGCAGTGAATCTCGATTCACTCAAGTGAATCGAGGAGATTCAACTACAATGCATATTGTAAAATCCAGACAACCAAAATTAATCGCTACCCATTTATAACAAATGAAAACATCTTACAATATTAAAAAAAATTAACTTATTCTAACAAGATCAAGGAAAATGTAAAAATTAAAAACCCTAAAGTAGAACATGCATCCATAACATTTTATAAAGCTAAAAAAATAAAATAAAAAAGTATTCAACAACATGCAAGTGATTCATGTCTAAATTTCGAAACTTTCCTCACTGAATCTATGAAAAATGTTCAAACTTTAATAAAAATATACATTTTTAATACGAGAGTTGGAATCGTTTTACCCCTTCTTGAAGACGAGGGTTTTGGAGTCTCTGAGTTGTTTTTCTTCATCTCGATCGTCAAAGGCTTGCTGTTCGTCTTCGTTCGAGTTATAATGAGATGTTGAAAGAAACCTAAGTGTTGACAAATCGACGGAATGTGAATAGTTTAGTTGTTCGGGTGGAGAGAAGATGAAACTGGATTCAAGATAGAGTGAAACTAAATCGACTTTTTCGTGAGAAGAAGTGTTTGACAGCTTTTGCTAATTAATTACAGCGTGTTTCATTAATGACTATTTCCTAAATTACCCCTTTTACTGGTATTTTGTCAGTTGATGTGTATTTATTTTCAATTCTGCCATTTTCAATCTTGACCATTGGATGAGATAGAATGTAGGGTTAGGATTGGTTTTTAGTTTTCTAGGTTTTTATTAGAACCTCTCCATATATATATATATATATGGAAAAAGTGAATCTGCGGTGACTCCGTAGGCTGGCTCTGAGGATGCGGGATCTGGGCGGTTTATTATAAACCCAATAAAGAGATCTGAGCCCTTCGTTGAAAATCCCATCCCCCAAAATCCCTACCCTTCTCTCTTCTTTCCCGCTCAGATCGCGCCATCACCGACCCCTCCTCCTCACCACCGCCCGAAAGCGCCGCCGCCCAAGCTCGGCCAAGCCCTCGACGTCCCCTAAAAGCGTCGCCGCCGTCCCCTTGCCCTAGCCATCACCTCCCCTCCTCCTCTCCAGCTCCCGAGATCGCCGCCGCTGAGCGTCGCCGCCGGGTCATCGCCGTCTACTCCTCCTCGCCATCGAGCTCAGCCCTCGTCATCAGCCACGCCTCCGACGGCATTCGAGCTCAGCCCTCAGGTTCATCGCCGCCTCCGGAGCTCGACCAAGCCCTCGACGTCTGCCCTCATGGCTTCGAACAAATTGAAAGAGTCGACGTCTTCGAATTCTTCAAAATCAAAGCCTACCTCTTCTAAATGCAATAATCCTCCAACTTCGTAAGTAATTTGCCATGATATATCTAATTTTTAACTCTTTCTGAATTATAATTTTTGTTGTAAGCCATGATGTATAATGTTTGTGTTAATAAACTTGTTAATATGCGTCTTAATTTGCCCAAATATATTTAATTTTTAACTCTTTCTGAACTATAATTTTCTTGTAGGGCTAAGATAACACACTTGAGAATTCCGGCCAATTTGTGTTATTTTCGAGATTTAATTGATAAGCGAATAAAATTAGATGAAAGACACCTAAAAGCCCTACAGACGACACCTTTTCACAGCTTTCTCAATATACCCACATCCTTGAGCAATGAGCAAATAGCAATTGATTGCTTGATTCAAAATTTTAATCCTGATAAATGCTCATTCATGATTGGGAATAAAAATTGTGTGTTCGGTATAGATGATATTCACCGAATTACCGGATTGCCAAAGGAGGGAATTCCGATAAAAATGAGTGGGGCAGCGGCTAATACAATCTACACCTATTTTGTAAAGAATTATAAGAAAGCCGATGAGGAAAAGAAGGCGGTGATTTCGGGGAAGCGCGATAGAATGGCCGAGATGATTGTAGATATGATTAATGAAGACCCTATAATATGTGTGAAACTTATTGTGGCTTTCATTATCGGCTTCATATTATGCCCGCGGACATGTAAGACATGTCCCTTGTGGGCGTTTAGATATGCGGAGCAGTTATCAACTTTGCATAAATATAATTGGTGCCATGCGGTGTTCACTCTTCTTTGCAAAGAGATGAGTAAATCAAAGAAGTCTCTTAGTATGCGGGAATTAGGTCAGCGCTCAAATGCCGGGTACATGGGTGGTTTTTCCTCCGTTTTACTGGTGAGTTACATGAATATTAATTTGTATATCTTTTCATTTTGATAATGATTATTGTTTATGCACATGCTAATGTGTAGTTTCTTTTTTGTAGGTTTGGTTTTATGAAAAAGTAGGGGAATTAGAGTACACTTCAGATATTGAAAGGTTACCGCCGCTCTTTTGTGTGAAGAGTACTGGAAAGTGGAGGAGGACTACTATGAACAAATTATATAGAGTCCCGAAGTTGGTTACGGATAATGGCCAAGAGAATACTCCTCTTATTCATACGGCATCGCCAATAGTATTTGTACATATCGTTGCTCTAATAGTTCATTATTTTATGTCCCTTTTGTTAGTATCTATGTTTGCAACTATAGTATACGTACTAATACTAGCTTTTTTTGTCAAATAGGAATCAAGGAAAGCTGAATTAATTTTCTTAATTGCGGAGAAGACGTACGAGTTGAATGAGCTCACTACAGAATTACGAGAATTAGAAGAGCGTAGTGCTAGATGCCAAAAAAAAACCAAGGAGAAAGAGGATGACGGAAATGTAACTGAAGAAAAAAAAATCAAAGAGGATATGGAAGCTAAGGAATATGAGAATTTGGAAGGAACTGGGGAAGCCGATTTATGTGATGACTTTGTGATGAGCGCAAGAGACGTGAGAATTTTAGAAGATGCTCGGTGAGTTTAGTTTTTTAAATTTTCTTGCAATTTTAATTTTTATATTTTCCATATAATTCTTGTGTAACTCTTTGTTAATTATATGCCTTCTCGACTCTATAGAGATGTTTCTCAAAAAGATGAAGGTGGTAATGAGAATAACAGAGAAACGCCATCTATCAAACGGGCTGTCGGAAAGAGGGAGAGGAAGGATGGACCCTCTGTTACTTCACCTTATATGCCTCTAGATCAACCAAAGGAAGGCACAAAGAAGAGACGTGTCATCCAGATATTGGATAGTCCTGATGGGAAAAAAAGTACAAAAATGAAGAAGGCTTCATACCTACATCTAGAGACTATCCAGGTAAGGCACTGGCGTTTGATTATGAGAACAAATTAATTGAAGACTTTCTACAATCGAGAATGAACAGGTAACTGTTACTGACTTATTCTAATAATAATCTTTGAATTTACTTAATTCTAGTAGCAATTTTCTCACAATGTACTTGCATATAGTGATACGTACATTTGGAAGTGTGCCGAAGCAAGCGTATCTCGCTTAGATGCTTATATACTATTAACGGGAGGTGAACTCAGTGACGATGTAGGTTCTAAACAATTGTGTTATTGATTGTTTGATGTTGTATATAAAATAATTTATATTAACTATTTTATTCATTCATGGTAATTTTTGTAGGTGATCGATGCATTTGTTATTCGGCTTTGTAACAAGATTGAAACAACTGATAGTTATGATCGAAAGATACATGTCACAAGACCTTGGCTTGCAGTAAGTATATCCTTGTTTTTTTCACTAATTGGTGGATATTATTATTATGTTATCCCACAATGTTGACATTATTGCATCTTTTAGCAAGCATTTCTAGAAGGAAATCTTGAAATGGTGGCAAAACGAATGAAGGAAAATGTTTCTCAGCAGAAGTTCTTGGAGTGTGAAAGAATTCTGATCCCGATTGTCAGCTCCGGACATTGGCACCTGGTAGAGTTAGTGAGAGAGGAGACAAAATTCTATCACTACTCCTCAATCAACTCCCCCATTTATACCGCCGATGCTGTGAAATTTATAAATAAGTTTATGAGTTTCATTGAGAGTAATTGGGGATTGGGGAAATTGGAGCATCATGGTCTTGTGTCAGTTGCCGTGCCACAACAAGGACCGTAAGTGTTTCATGCATTTCTAATTTAATTGTTCATTTTTTTGTTTCATTGTCATTTTCAATATTGTAATATTTTTCCCTTAAATGCAGAACGTTAGATTGCGGGATCTTTATGATTGAATTCATTAACAGCATTGTCGAAAAACGGTCGATAACAATTTCAAAAGGAGATTGTGCAAAATATAGAGCAAGGTTTTGTGCTGCTCTTTTGTATGCACGCGATTCACCTTTTTTGTAAATATTATTTTAATTTTCTCCAAGGTTTTTGTTGTGTATTCAATGTTGTAAGTATGTTCATGTTGTTAATATGTTGTTAATTGTTTTGCGTGTACATTTACAGACAACTACGTTGTTGTTGTGTGTTGTAAGTATTTTCATGTTAAATGAGAAGTAAGCTAGGGCTAACATAGCCACCAGAGCAAAAACTTGTGATAGAAATAACGCCAGCCAGCAGTAGAACTAACTCGAGAAGGGATAGAACTAACAGGAGGGCAGCTAGAACTAACAAACGTGAGGGTAGGGCTAACATGGCCACCAGAGCAAACACTTTTGCTAGAAATAACTCCAGCCCGCAGTAGAACTAACTCGAGAAGGGATAGAACTAACAGGAGGGCAGCTAGAACTAACAAGCGTGAGGGTAGGGCTAACATGGCCACCAGAGCAAACACTTTTGCTAGAAATAACTCCAGCCCGCAGTAGAACTAACTCGAGAAGGGATAGAACTAACAGGAGGGCAGCTAGAACTAACAAGCAGTTAGGTAGGGCTAACATGGCCAACAGAACACACACTTGTGCTATCTAGAAATAACGCCAGCCCGCAGTAGAACTAACTCGAGAAGGGATAGAACTAACAGGAGGGCAGCTAGAACTAACAAGCAGTTAGGTAGGGCTAACATGGCCAACAGAACACACACTTGTGCTATCTAGAAATAACGCCAGCCCGCAGTAGAACTAACTCGAGAAGGGATAGAACTAACAGGAGGACAGCTAGAACAAACAAGCGGTTATGTAGGGCTAACATGGCCAACAGAACACACACTTGTGCTAGAAATAACGCCAGCACGAAGTAGAACTAACTCGAGA